TGTCTGTGAGATGGCCAGCCCTAAGTGACACATCTACAATGGAACCTCTACACCTAAGTTTCACAGAACATAGAGGAACAAGGGGCAGAGAGAGAGTATTAATGCATTTCTAAACTCTCAACAACAAGGTTTCCTCATGCAACAGATGCTGATCAACAAAGGAAGCCACAATTGGCCAAAATGTAGAGAATAAGAGACTGCAAACTGCATTCCATGGATAGGACTCTGATATTAAATCTCTGCCATCTAGGGCTCAGGGACCATTGTGGAAGAGGGGGAAGAAAGCATGTAAAAGCCAGGTGTGGTGGATGACCAGAAGGAAACAAGAGTTTTATGGGTGACTGGAGTGACTCATATGAACTTATAGAAATGGTGACAGCATGCCCAAAACCCATGCAAACTCAAACCAGACAAAAACCTAGCAGAGAAGTGGGGAAATGGGCAGGAGTCCCCAACCTTAGTATTGACAGCTGGTCATTGCTGGGTGAGGGAGAGTTGACCTTCTTTAAGGTAGTGACACTAGAGAGGCTGACCAGGGTCCACTGGAAGAACTCACACAGAGGGATATCTGGGGACACAAACTTGACTCTATAGCCCTTAACATATATGACAGAATGCATGAAATTCAGTGGGGAGGGGCTATGGAATGGGCAAAAATAAGTTGTATTGTATGAAATGCACAAAATTTCAATAAAAAGAGGAAAAAAACTAAACTTTTAGATAACAGAGAAAGTTAAAACTTACAATTATTAAGAAATTTAGGGCTGAAGAGATAGCTCAGCAGTTAAGACCGCTTGCTGTTCTTACAGAGGACCAGGGTTTGGCTTCTGGCACCCATATGGTGGCCAACACCATTAGTAACTCACGTTTCATTGAATGCAGCGCCCTCCTCTGGCCTCTTCAGGAATCGCATGCACATGATGCACTTACAGACATGTAGGTAAGACAACAATCACATACATAAAGAAATAAAGAAATTCGCTAAAGAAAAATGTTAACATGTTTAGTTCTAAAATATGATTTATGGTAAGACCTATCATAAGATCAAAAGATTAAAAAATAGAAAATTCTTTAATAAAAAATTGATTTATGGGGCTGGGGAGATGGCTCAAAAGCACTGGCTGCTCTTGCAAAGGATGCAGGATTAAATCCCAGCACCCACATGGTGGCTAACAATGGTCTATCCATAACTCCAGTTCCAGAGGATCCAATGCCCTCTCTGTCCTTTGTGGGCATTGGCATGACATGGGTGCACTTATATACGGACCAGCATAGCACACACATAAAATAAATAAATAAATTAATTAATTAATAATAAAATATTTAAAAATTATTTAAAACCAAAGGAAGTTAACATTCTTTTTTAAAATATTTTATTTATTATTTTTATTTTATGTGTGTGTAAGTGCACCCATGTTGTCCAATGCCCATGGAGGACAGAAGAGGCTGTCGGATCCCCAGAACTGGAATTACAGACAGTTGTTAGCTGCCATGTGGATGCTGGGATTCAAATACAGATCTTCTGCAAGAACAGTCAGTGTTCTTAACTACTGAGCCATCTCTCCAGCCCTGAAGGAAGTTAACATTCTTAATCTATTTGAAGCCACACAAGACTGAGTATATAGCTTGGTGGCAGAGCACTTGCCTGGCTTGTGTGAGGTTCTGGGTTTGAGCCCAGAATTAAAAAAAAATGCAAATGATAATAAAACCAAATAGCATTAAACAAAAAGGACACTGTGTGGAATCAGTCAGTAATAAATATAAATATATAATATAAATATTAAACAATTGCATACTAGTAATTTAAAATGTGAATTAAAGTATCAAAATGCTCTGGATATTAAGATTATTCATACATACATTGAGAACATAAAACAATCCTCAGTGCAAAGATCAAAAGGCATTTCTGTGTCAAGCACAGCTTAGGGCTGTTTTCCTAGATGATAATGCATCCTTCATTGTCTAGAAATGCCTGTGTTCTTCCTAAGCAAGCCCACCCATGCAGAACTGTGTGTCACTCTAAACCATGAATGTGCTTCTGGATAAACCAACAGCACTGGTCAGTAAGGGAACTTCTCTCATAATTGTAGACTCATAACTTAGAAAGTAATAGTTTCTGCCCTCTTGAAAATACAAGACCTGATCTAGAGATCTGTGAAGTAACCAAGGAGAGACACTCAACCTAAGCTGCTCTGTAGGGGATGACTGTAGTGTAAGACAGTAAAAAGTAGATGGAAGAGTCTGACAAGTGTGGCCAATGGCTACCCATTCTTGTTAAGGTTTTCCCCATTCCCTTGTTTCCTTTTATGTAAGGTAACACAGCAAAACCTCTATCTCCTGATAAAAAAGCAATTATTTTTTACTCAACTGTTTGAGTAAAATGATGTTTGAAACCAAAATCATATTTGATTAATTTAAAATTTTGGTTATTTTTCAGAGTGAAATGTTTATAAAGTTTAAACTCAGTAATCACACTTCTCAAGAATATATCTTAAAGATAAAAATTTACAATAAACATGTAAAAATATAATGAAAATATACCATAAAAACATTAAAAGCAGACATTCTGATTGCATTGCTGATTACTAAAGTGAAAAGCAGAAAGCAATGCAAATATCAAACAACAAGAAATAATTAAATCGTAGCCAGCACATGTCTTTAATCCTGGCACCTGGGAGGCAGAGGCAGGCATATCTCTGTGAAATAGAGGCCAGCTTGTTCTACATAGTAAGTTCGAGGCCAGCTGGGACTACAGAGCAACCCTGCCAAGAAAGGAAGAAAGGAAGGAAGGAAGAAAGGAAAGAAGGGAGGGAGGAAGGGAGGGAGGTAGGGAGGGAAGGAGGGAGGGAGGGATGGTTAGTGAAGAAAAGAAAGTAAAAGAAAACAAAAATGTAAAATGCACAATAAAAGTATAGATCATTGGTCCTGATAATAGTGTCAGGAAAGGACTCCATCTTGTGAAGTGGGCCTTAAATCCAATCATAAAGTGGTTGATTCTGCCTATAACATTTGTGTCACAATTGCACTAGTGAGAATGATTTGCCAGGCTAGTCATTACTGTAACTTGCAAAGTTCACAGCTAAGTAAGATGGATGATTACTTTCTTTTCTGATAGCATGCATACCATCTTGCAGCACTATGAAAGCTAGCCTGTAGAGATGAAGCTTTGAGGTCAGCTCCAGTTTGATTGCTCCACATTCTATGACTCACATATGTAGTGTCTTCAGCAATAAGGTCTTCCCATCAATTTCTAGAAAATAGCCAAGAGCAATGGCAATAGCCAGTATTGTTTGAGAGTCTATGGGACACCCCTCATCCCCAAACACCAAAATAAAACTTTAAAAAAAGATATACTCTTTTGATGGTATTAATAATAAATTTAACCCAAAGTAGCCAATTCCAAGTTATCTCAAAACATATCACAGTAAAAATATTCAGATTCTGATACATTATGGCCCTTGTTTCAGTCATGTTAATGCCTGTCATTACATCTACTGTTTATATTACCTTTGTGTACATTCTATAAATAATATTGCATTCACTTATTGTTGTTATATGAAATAACCCCATAGGCTTGGGTCCCAGGATAATGGTATTATTTGGTGAGATGGTGGAAAATTTAAGAGGCAGGGCTTGTTTGAAGGAGGTGCACCTGTAGGTGCGTGCAATTGAAGGGTATCTTATCCCTCGTTCTTTCATGTCTCTTTCTCTACTTCCTGTCTGCCATGATACAGGTTGCTCCACAACATTCTGTGGCCCCCATGATGTTCTTCCTCACCTCAGACCCAGGCAATGCATCCACCTGCGTGTATGCTGAAACCTCTGAAAAAATCTTTTCTCCTTTAAATTTGTCACAATGGCCAAAACCTAACATAGTCATTCATATACAGAAATAATGTGCATTTAAAAATCTTGAGGCTGATATATATCTTTGAATCAATTATGTATATGTGTATTTTCATTTTTATATAATGTCAATATATCTGTGTATGAAGTTTGTATCTAATTCCACCATTACTACCCCAGCTTCTGTAGTAGAATAGCCAAAATCCTAGCTTGCGACTGAGCCTAGCTTAGTGAGAGTGACATGGTCCTGTACTCATAGAGGTTGAGGTCAATCTGACTTAACTATAGAAAATATTCTTGCATACTATCTGTCGTTAGTAAGAGCTAAAAGTTCTTGGAGAGTAAGTTAAAATCAAGGACATGATGCCATCACTCATGTTTGTATTCATACACATGCCTACACATTATTCTATATCTTTTCATTGTTCATTTATAATTAAATTACATTGGCTTTCACATTTTTCAAAAACATTTGCTGTTGAATTTAAGCTAATAATTGAAAACATATGCATTGCTTACATTGCTATAATTAGTTCTATATGCTTTTCTAAATATCAGAAAACATTCCATTTTCTTAAAATATTTTTCCTTCATCAATACAGTGTGTGCGCATGATGTGTGTTGGTTGGGTACATCACAGTGTACATGTGGAGGCCAGGCCATAACATTGAGGTCAGTCCTTCCCTTCCACCATTGCATAGATTTTGAGGCTCAAGCTCAGGTCATCAGGCAGGTGCCTTTACTCCCTGAGCCATCTCTCCAGGCATTAATATTCCATTTCTTAAAATTATGCAGTATGTACTTCCCTTATTTCATTCTACTTTGAGTATTTAAGATGTTAGCAAAAAAGAGAAAAAAAATCTCGTTTATAAGTTTTGATTATATTAGTAACTGAAGTATTCCTATTAGTTTCTCAAAGTTCTTGGTTCTTCCCTAAAAGGCCTCAATTACTGAAGGTGCCAAATAAAGTTTCAGTTTTCTCTCTTACCCTTAATTTGCACCCCAGAGCCAGCCACCTTGGGCGCAGATAATATTTGGGTAAGAAAGCAAGACAATTCAAATTGATAAAGCAATACTCCTGGGAAAACACTATTAACATGTATAAAAGGATTTCCTGACAGTATAAATACCAGCCAGCACCCTCCGGGTGCCTCAGAGCCTTCCTGATGTATATATGCAGGTACGGAGAATTGAATCGGCCTTTGATACAGTAATATAATAAAAGCGATTTGGGGAGCAGCGGTTCTTATTTTTCTACTCTTGTGGGAATGAGTTGCCAATCTTTCACTTCGGCTGATACCTTTATACCTCTAAATTCTGACACTTCTGCCACTCTGCCTCTGATAATGCATCACAGCGCTGCCGAGTGTCTCCCCGTCTCCAACCATGCCACCAACGTGATGTCTGCAGGTACTGAATCCCATGGCTGGGCCTACAGTTTCCAGAATGGATGCTGTGAATCTTGTTAGAGAATTATCTCTTTGTTTAATTCTCTTCTTCAATCTATTTTATTTTTAATTTGTTTTAGTTATATTAAGGATATTTTTAAAGCATAATTGCCTAAGAACCTTAAAAAATTAGTAAATGAAATTACTTATCTGTTTATTGGTTTTATTACAATAAAGAAGAACTATTTTCTGTATAAGCAAATAGTGAGCTTGGGTAGTTTGCTCTGAAAACTATTTTAGCAGAAATGTTTATGGATAAAAAAAGAAAATAAATATTCTTAAGTAGTTTAATGTTAAACAGGTATTGCTTTTTTTACATTAAAAGTGTATCTCATTTTAGGATTATGTTTGTTACTATCTATAAACAGCTGCAAACCTTATAAAAATAAACAACTGAATTATTCCCAATACCAACAAAAATGAGCTTTAATAAATAAAGTAATTAAATATGTTATTAAAGTTATATTTTGGCATAATACTAACTTAAAAATCAAGAGAGAACCTCAGAGCCCATAGACCTAGTTAAACTTTCTCAAGATTGAGTTCTATAAATAAGCTTTTATACTTCTCTTACTTAACATTCTCAAATAGAAATTAAACTTGGGAATAAAAAAAAATCTAGATACCACTAAATACTCAAGCTTTGCTAGAACATTTGTATTTAATGCAATAATCATGTGTTTCAAAGTTGATTTACAAATGGATGAAACCTCAAACTGACTAATTTTTTTATGAAATAGCTAGCTAAAATTTACCATTTATTTGTTAAAATGTAATTTAGAAATCAATAGAAATTAAACTTGGGAATAAAAAAAAATCTAGATACCACTAAATACTCAAGCTTTGCTAGAACATTTGTATTTAATGCAATAATCATGTGTTTCAAAGTTGATTTACAAATGGATGAAACCTCAAACTGACTAATTTTTTTATGAAATAGCTAGCTAAAATTTACCATTTATTTGTTAAAATGTAATTTAGAAATCAAATAAAAATTTTATACGCTCAGAAATCAAGGTTTGGATTGGTATATTTATGTTCTGATTTACAATAGTAAGGGTTAGCCTTTATTATAATTAGGCAGTCTCCAATATAGATGAAAGTTTCTCATCAATCTCCATCTGGGTTTTAAAGAATGTTGATATTAGATATTTGAACTTTAGTAAAATTATTTAATGTAGAATTGTTTTACATTTACCAAAGATCCCTGTAATTTAATTTAAAAGGTAATTTTTGAAATATTCTTACACATTTGCTAAAACTATAAATTAATTTAATAAAAATAAATACTACAATTGAATCAAAACAATTGATACATCTGAAGCATTATGATATATTTTGAAGTAATTTTTTGTAGGTTGATAATATGGAAAATAATGTCACTTCTCAAATCGATGGTATAGAGAAAAAAGTTGGCCAGCATGAAAGAAAAATTTAGAATCAGATGATGATTTAGCAAGCTAATCTAGTTTCAAGTTCTAGCGCTTTATTTAAAAATATATAATAATGTATTTGCTAATTTGATCTTTTATCCAACTTCCTAAATCATAGAGACAAAAGTTACTGAAATCTTGTAAATAAAAATAATTCATAATTAGTAAGTTACCTTAAAATATTTTAAATGATTTATAATTTTTCTATGAAATTATAGTTATATATATATAATTATCAAGTAAGGAATTAGAAATGATTGTTTTAATGAAATGTTTAGGTATTAAACATGTTTAAGATTTATTAAGTTTAGTGAACACTGAAAATTTTATGTGTAACTATTATATGGCAAAATGACTTTAAGTCTTTGCACATTGGTTGTACATTGGAAATTTATGCAAATAGTTAAAAATTAAAGATTGCTCTATATTTAGACAAAATTCATTTCATACTAAGAGGACACCTCATGTCTTTAATCACTACATATTATGTCATTATTCTCAAATAATCCTAATTATATATTCTATGTCTCATTTATTGAAAAATTATATTTGGGTTATGCTTATGACATTTTAATCCTATATTTAGTATATGAGGGAAAATAACATGCCTAAGGAAACTTTCCTAATAGTTTTAATGTCAATAGTTCTTGCTATTAATTAAATTGATGATTTATTTGTAAAACTTAATACAATTTTATAGTTCATACTTCCTTTCTACATACTAAATTTCATGAAATATATATGTATATATAAAATGATAATATTTATGCACAGCTTTATAAAGAACATCACTCAATTGTCAAAGAACTTATATTTGGTATAACTTTATCATTAAAGTCATTCAATCAAGTGCATGCATGTAGACAATCTACAATCTCATGTCAACATAATCATCACAGGTTTTTCATAACACCCTGAATGAAGCTGAATTGTTATGAGTAGATCTAAGCAGGAGGGCAGGTGTTCTGGTGTTTCCTCTTTAATGAAAGGAATTTGTTAGGAAATATTTTCCTAACAAGCCCATGGACGATTGAAGAGTCAATTTAGGTATTCATTCGTTCAGAGAAAAACCTCTTTACAACATGCTATACAATAATGCTTAGAATCTACTGTTCAGTCCCTTTGTTGCCGTGTCTACATTGGATGCAACTATGGGAATTTTGCAATTCTCAAAGACCCAAGATCCATGCTCACCTCTTCATGAGGCACTTGTTGCAAAAGCATAGACCACAGGATAATCCACTTTAATGCCAAAGAATTTTACAACCTGAGACAAACTTTGACTCCTAATTTTAATTTGTGCATTAGAAAACTCCCATTGAGGAATATATATATATATATATATATATTTTTTTTTTAGACAGACAGACAGACAGACAGAGACAGAGACAGAGACAGAGACAGAGAGACAGAGATGAGAGACAGAGGAGGAAAATCATACAGAGTTTAATAATCACATAACTTTATAATTTTGAAATGAACTGAATGTGTCTTGAATCCTCATGCATTTTCTTACCAGTCCCATCTATTTTGTCTTTGATCCAAACTCCTAAATGTTTGCACACATATGTTTCGGTGACAACTATGGGAAATACAGCAACAGGACTTCATTATTCTGTGCCTTCCTGCCATTATGGAAACCAGCCATCAACCTATGGAGTGATGGCAGGTAAGAAAAATTATGGGTATATGTGATAATGAATCAGGGGAAGTATTGGAATTCCTGGACCAGAGGGAATGGTGATCAGAGTTTAACATGAAATTGTGATCTTTTATCCTTTGAAAACAGTGGAACCACCACTTACAGGAATACCCCCTGATCTTAAGGCCTCTAAGACCCCTGGGCTGTGTCTGGCATCCCTTTTCTACACAATTCTACACTGCTGTGCTTCTTGACTTATATGTCCTTTGTATAGATTGTTTTCATTTGAATTCCCTACAATTAAGCTTTTAGTGGCCCTTGTTAGTGCCTTTGTAGGATTCCCTTTAGCAATAGCATACTGGCTAGTAACACAAGAATAGTGTGGTGTCTTTGAGAACCTTTCTCAGTTCTGTGGTGTTTAGTTTGAGAAGCTAGTGTCCCAGAAGCTCAACAATCACCAAAGCCACCTCATGCTAGAGATTTTTTGCTTTCTTCTCTCATGAATTAAAAGAATGAAATTTAGGGATCACAGAGGGTGAATTTTAGAAAGAAGTATTTTATAATTATGATCTTAGGAGAGCTCTTATTTATGGTTTAAGGAAATTCTTTGGTATTCTGTATTATTATTATATAAGGAAAAGAGTTCTCATCAGTGACAAACTGTGACAGAAAGAGAAGAGGGGAAGGGAATGGGCAGAGAAATAGAGGCAGAGAGGTAGTAAGGAATTTTAGATAAAAACATCAGACATCCATGAACCACTTAAAAATTTTTTGTGTTCCGTTATCCTCCAAATAAAAATGACACACAGAGAAATACTTATGGCTATAACTTTAAAATAAAATTCAATGAATAATTTATTTCATTAATGTCTAATTTTTTTAAATTTCTCAATTTATGACACAGGAAGACATTACTATTTTAAAATAAAGTGTTTCAGAAAAGTGTTAGTTTTCCTTACGTTCTCTCAATGATCATGCAGAATGAGTTAGCATCCTCACTGTAATAGTGAAAAAGGCAGACTGGTGTTCTTCACGATTGCCTGTTGACTGTAGTTTTTCTTTCTAATAATTAAGAAAGATCTAAAGCCAAAGTTATTCTTTCCCTTTGAAAGCTCATCCCTTACAAGCCATCAAACAGTATACATAAACAACAAGAACAGCCCTGCTCCTTCATGATTTGTTTTTGCTGTGAAATAGTAAAATACACTCATGTTGGAGTGCTGTTTGAGGTGCAGGTAAAATGCTTTCTTTAGTCTTTACAGAAGACTAAATACAAAAACAGGAAATGACAAGAAGTAGTAGCATGCCACTGTCTCTTGGAGGCAATTTCAGTCACAGTGATTCTCAGAATCAGGTACGCCTTCAGTTTCTACATTCTCCCAGAAAGAGGCAGCATTTGCGATAGACTTAAGTTAGCATGAAGAAAGAACCAGACACAGACCAGTGGCAAATGATTTCTTGCCTAATGTCTTTGGATGGTCTTTGGTACTACCTCCTTTTTACCAAATCAAAGTGTCCCATGGTGGCTGTCTAGAGAGTTTACAGCTGGCCTCAGAATCCTAGCATGCAAGCCTGCTCCAGAACTGGGTGCATGGGCCGTGGGCCCAGTGAGAGATAACAGGCATCACTCAGCGCATCTTCTTCCATTCACCCTCTCATCTCATTACAGTTAAAAGGAAAGGCCACTGTGAATGATTTTTACTAGATTCAAAGGCTGGTTTAGTGACATTGTAGGCAAAATTGTTAAACCAAGATTTAGAGATATTATTGTAGTCTGCAAATTAATTATATTTTGTCACTAAAAGAAAATCTCACCATGGCAAGGACAGAGACTACATTTGAATATTTCTGAGAGGAATGTCATTACAATATTATATGTTTTATAATTTGTCAGAGTGTCTTTTTTTGACATATATTGAACATTAGCATGTGCTTCATGGCAGAATAAATCTTAAAGAATCTGAATTTCCTTGCTTTCATCCCCAGAGAAGATGCGCAAATTGAGTCATAAAATACAGAACTTCAGAAATGAGAAAGAGAAGGTATAAAATAGATAATAGAAACCTAGTTGTGTCATTTGAATTTTCTGAAACATCAGCCGCTTCCTCACAGAAGCAGCACACCAAATGCAAAGACAGATTTAGTGTCATATTGTCTATGAAAAGAAGCTTCAGGAAGAACTGTTTCTAAGGATGTGTACTTACTGTTTTTAGGCAGTTATTTTATTGCCTAGACTTTGATACTTCGGTTTGAGCAATTTTTTTTTTAATTAGCCCACAGGAAGGGAAAATCTGTGGTTAATATTTTGGTCAGATTGGTAAGAGGGATTTTAATTCTCAGATGAATACACTGTACCTCATAGTCCGGGTACCAGGAAGGTAAAGAGGATGACTGGGTGGGGAGCAGCGAAGAGCCACACCATTCACTGCTGACTGCAGTTTTGCCAGGTTTGAGTTGCAGCAGCTTTGGGCCAACTCAGTCTCTTTTCTTCTGATTTCTTCAGAGAGATTGGTGAGTATGTTCCTTCTGTTTCTCCCTTCCTGCAGTCTACAGTAATAACAGAACAAATACTCTTAATAGTCTCTGTCAAACAAACAAACAAACAACAACAACAAAAAAAAAACAAAGCAAAATAGCACCAAAAATTCTCAACACTCTCAGTTCTTGGGATGTTGAGTTTGCTACTGTTCTGCAGCTTCCAAAGCAGAGTGAAGTCTAGGAAGCAAGTTCTAGGGCTGTTGTTCTGGTCACTATACCCTGGGAACTAGGCACACCAGCCTCATAGCTATTACTGAAGACCCAGCAAGGCTATGCCACATGGAGGGAGGCTAAACCAAGAAGCGGAGGGAGAATCATTGGCTCTAAAATATATGAGGGAGGAAAAGAAAAATCAATTTCTGTTTGAGAATTAGTCAAAATCATAAAAATTTCATTTTTCCTCTTTATTTTCTCCTCTGTTCTTTTCTCTCCCTCCCTTGCCCTTCTTGTTTCTCTGTCATCCTTTTTCTCTTTCCTTTTCTTTTTCCCTAAGATGTTTGTTTAGAGATGCTTATCCTCTAGGAAAGGTATCATCTTGAAGATCTTTGCCTCTGATTGGGAAAGGTCACTCAGCAGCACTAGCATGATGCATTCCCCTTCTAGATGAGTTGGCAGCCCTTTTCATAAAGAAACAAGGGTGGCTATCTTAAGTTTTTTTGTTTCTGCTGACTGCCCCACTGTTCTAGTGTTAGGACAACACTCCCAGCCATGTGGAAGCATGTGGCTATGGCAGTATGCCAACTGAACCTAGTTGACAAAGACAGTGGACTCATGTCTGGCATGGACAGAACTTGCAATCATAAAAAGTGAAAAGATCAAATTTGAATGTGCATCTTGCTTTAAATTGTCAGGTATGTGCAGAAAAAGGGAATAAATAGAAATATTTAAACCCATGTTCCTGTGCACATGTACATCATGGGTATTTATTGAATGTCTCTGCTTTCTTGTTTGTTCTTTTAAGACACTGGGGACTTACCCAGAGATCATGTCACCTAGCTACATGCCAAAAAAAGATCAATTGTACACTGAGTTGCATCTTTCAAGGCCAGCCCTACCTCTGTCCTCAATGTCTGATTTAAAAGATTTATCTTTGTCCTCCCTCTTCCACTACCCAGAAAAATACAGAGCAATTCAGAAAGGCCAACGCGGATCTTATGCATTGTGGAAAAGTATATGGGACTGTGGAGGAAATTCCAGCACTTTCCTAGCTTTTCATGTGCGTCTGATCCAGGCTAAAGACAATGTCACTTTATCCTGTGCTGCACACCACACTTCCTATCTTCCTTCAGTAATCCAGGCTTGAAGAGTTCAACAACAGTTTGCCATTCATACCATGCCATCACTGCCCACAATCCACACATAGTGAGCCATATTTTAGGAACAATGTTTTGTCTGACTGTCAGAAAACTATGACCCTATAGATAACTACATATGTGTTCATGTAATGGAAGATATATATCTATCACATACACTGATTTCATTCTTGTCCAGTTCTTGGAGCACTGTTTCCTGCTCATTTTTCATGGACTCTATTCAAATGCACTTTCTAGATGTCCACTTTCTAAGAGTAGAAAGAATATAAGAGATAAGCTAGCTTTGAATTTTCCTAGAATGAAAAGAAATCATTTGATTTCAGTGAGCTCAGACTTGTAGAGAATGAAGTTCTGGCATGGTTAATCCTACAGTTAGTGGAATTCGGTTCTATTCACTACTGCAGCTACAAGGTGGGCAGTGGACGATAGTTACTAAATTTCTACTTAGACTTACTAAATTGTGGATTGTGGTGGAAGATGCACATCCTTTATAACTTGTTTATTTATATAATGCTATGGAACACAACTAATATGAAATAAACATCAATGTCCAGTAGAGAACTTAAATAACACAGGATTATGATGGCAAGAGGAAATGCCAAGATAAGACTCAGGATGGCTACGTTCAAACCTGAACAGTATTCTTCTTAAAAGACGTACAATAATTTAACTGGATAATGTAGGTTTGTAAAGGTAGCATACTTTTTGTTCAAGTCAACACAGTTTCTCTCAAATCTCTTCCACACCTGTAAAATAGCCAAATTTATTTCATGTTACTTTTGTAATCTCTCAGAACTTGTATGTTTAATTTTCATTAGGAAAAAATAGTCTATTGGATCGAGATGAACTTTATTACATATTCTCCTATAAATAAATTAAAGTTTGCTGACATTATTTCACTCATTACATATTCATATATCAATGGAGACTTACATATTATAGTCTTATTCATTTCTTTGATTTGTGAATACATTTGTAGATTTACTGATGTATGATTTCAGTAAGTTTCAAAGAATAATAATTATATATAGTTTGCCAAACTTGTTTTTATATAGTCATTTATACTCATAAGAATGAAATTACACAATAGTTCAATAGCACAATGTCTTGTTTATACAAGGCATTTACTATAAAGTGAATCAATCTGCCAGTAAAACTGGTAATTTGTCAGTGAAGAAAAAGTAAAACAAAGTATGTTGACCCTGGTCTTCTGTATTATCCACTCACCTATGATCCTTAACTGAGACAGACATTTATTTTTGTATTTTTAAAAATATTTTATTTATTTTTTTTTATTTTATATGTATGAGTGTTATGCCTGCATGTATGAAAGTGCACCCATGTCATGCAATGCCCTCAGAGAA